TCTTACATAGTACTACATTGCTATGATGCTTACAGCTTTATAGTATAGTTTGAGATCTAATACTTCTAGCCGCCTTCCTTCTCATTTTTTTCATTGATTCCCTTGTTAGACCTTTTGTTCTTCCAAACAAATTTTGTTATTATTTTTTTTCTAGCTCTATAAAGTAATTCTTTGATATTTTGATTGATATGGCACTGAATAAGTAAATTAATTTAGGTAGTATTGTCATTTTTATTATATTAGCTCAGCCTACCCACAAACAGTTAATAATTCTCCAGTTTTTTTAAAAACTGTCTTTATTTGTGTGAAGAGTGTTTTGTAATTGTATTCATATGTGCATCTTGGCAGGTAGACTTCCAAATATTTTATACTGTCTGCAAATATTTTAAATGGAATTTTCTTTCTATCTCTTCCTGCTGGGAGTTGTTGGTAATATACAGAAATGCTAATGATCTGTATGGGTTTATTTATTATCCTGCAGTGTTGCTGAAGTTGTTAATTGTTTTGATTAGTTTTTTGGTTGACTCTCTAGGGTTCTCTAAGTAAGCCATTATCATTTGCAAAGTTATTATTTTGTTTCCTTACTGCCTATGCTTATTTCTTCATTTTTTCTTGATTGCTAAAGCTAGCATTTCTAGTATGATATTGAATAGTCATGGTGATAATGGATACTGCCCCATGGTAGGGCTTTTCCCAACTACATCCCTAATTATGTAGCACTGATCTATACCCTTCCCTGCTATTTTTTTTTACATTCACCTAGAAATCTCCTCCCTGTGTCCATGATCTTCCATTCCTGTAGGTGCCAGTTGTACTTAGAGATTCCAATTCCTCTCCTCCCAATATAGGACAAGTACACTTTTTAAACATCAAATCCCTCCCAGGCTTCATCCAATGTAAGTTCCTCATCTCCTTTCACTGACCACTACTCTTCACCTGTAGGAGCATTCATCAATGAAAACTCCTTCCATCTCCAAAGTAAGGGCTTCTTTCTTACTGCCCTCTTCTATCTTCACTCCCTCCTCCTCACCTACTTCCCTATAGGCTCTCTTCTTTCCAAGACCGCAGAGGTTACCTCTCTTTCATTGTTAGCCCTGGATTTGACCCCAGCGCATCACACATTCCTCTGTTCCCCTGCTCTCCTCCCCATTTTTTATGTACCCTCCAATATTGAAATGTAATCCCATAAAAACGCATTGATTTACCTGTAGTCAGGGTGTTGCTAGGTTCTTTCCATAATGCCCCCTTCCTGGCTCTTCACTGTTCCCTTTACCAGAATTCCACCTTCATTCCTGTCACTTTGTGTACATTTAGAAGGAAGTATTTTACTGGTCTCCCTGTTGTCACTTTGTTGCTCTTGCTGTTCTGGCTGCTGCATTTATTCACTCCTATGTTTCTGTTGTTTAGGGTGTTCAAGAGGCAAATCTCTTCAGTTCTTGTTTTCTGTATAAAAGTGTTTAAAACTCTTCTTTATTATTGAATGTCCATCTTTTATTTTCCTGTATGGTTAAGCTTAGATTTGTAGGTTAGGTCACCCTGGACAGCATCCTGAGATCCATTGCTTTTCAAAACACATTGTTTCATTTTCTCATGTTTTCTAGTAGGTGGAAAATAATCTTATGTTAATTGAATGTCCTTTTCTTTGTATTTAAAAATCTTTCTTTGATTGCTTGCAGAACTTGTTTCTGTATTGAATTGTTAAATTTAACCACTATCTGTCTTGGAGTTTGCAACACTGGGTTTTTTCTGGAGGCAATATGTGAATTCTTTCAACTGGTATTTCATTTTCTGTTAAGAAGTTCTGAAGAGTTTTCTTTTATTATTTCCTTCATTATAGTGCTAAGGTTTTTTTTTTGTCCTATAGTGTTCTTCTGGGAGACCTTAAGTTTTCTCTATACATCCTGTCTTCAAGATCACTATATTTTGTTTATATAGTTAGTATATTTTCTTTTAATGTTACTGTTTTTTGTTTCTCTTCTAGGTTGTCCTTCACTTCTGTCCATTCTTTCCCAATATATTGTTCTCTTTTGTTTCTTCAGTGAGGTTTGGCATTGCAGAGTCAAATTTTTCTATTCATTTATTATTGTTGTTGTACAGGTCATATATTCTGCTCTTATAATTCTCATTTCTCTTTAAACCACTCAGAAACAGTGTGCTGTTCATATTCTCCTTACATCCCACAGAGTCCTCTGTCCCATCAAATGTTAGATAATTTTCCTTTTATTTTTGACAATATTTATTCATAGATGCCTGAACTTGTTTATTAGATATGGGGGGCATATTTCCTTCTGTTGTTACTATTTTTCCTGTTGATTTGTCTGCTTATGTTCAAGATTTTTGATTTTCTTCTTGATGAAATATTTGGTAATTTCAGTCATCCCCCCCCCCCATTTTCCCTATGACTCACTTTCTGACTCCCTCCCTTCTGTGGTTTCCTTTGGGACTGCATATCGGCTTCTTTTTGTGCCGGGCAATTCATGGTTCTTCAGCCTAGGTTTCTGCCCAAACTGACTTTTGGGTGGTCAGAACTGGGCCCAACTAGATATTGTGTTCTTTCCCTCAGGCTTGGTCAAGTGCTGCACACCCTCCCACTTGCACAGTACCTTGTCCTAGTGACCTGTCCTACTTCCTCTGTTCTTCATTTCTCTGGCCTGGCAGCAACAATTCAGAGCTTTGCAGTATTGGTGCTTCTAGTCTGGAGCCCCTAGCTGGCTTTTGCTCCTGAAGAGCTGTGGCCAAGCTGACTGTTGAGGCCCAGGAAAACTTCTGCAGCCTGGAACCAGGGTCTCTATGGCACTGGAAAGAGGGAGGGAGGACTGGGATGGTTTTTATTGTAATCCTGTGTTGGGTCTTTAGGTCTGCTAGAGCCTCATTGCTAGTAGTGTGGAAGGTGGGGAAGGGGTGTTGAGTGAGTCCAAGGTCAGTAAGCATCAGTTCATGGGTTTTCAAAGTTCTTTTTAAACTTTCTTTTGGATTCTGGGTATCCTAGACCATGAATTTAGTTGAAGTTGCTTTATCTTTGATGTATAGTTTCTGTTTTGGAGAGGTTTGAGAGACGGGTATCAGAAAATGCTTAGTTGTTCATATTGTTGCTTACTTGGTTGGTTGTCCCTTAGTTCTTGAAGAGGACCAAAATGATATCACTATGTTGGAATCAAGATACAGTGTGTCCGACTGTGGCCGATTAGATCATTATGAGCTCAGACGCTCTACCACCGGTTGGGCACAAATAGTCCATATGAACATTTGGAGTGGAGATGTCTCTAAATTTGTGCATCTGTTTTCCTTTTGAGCTTTTGCAATTCTGCTTTGCTAGCAGAGCATAGCGCTTTCTTTGATATGGGCTCACCATGCAGGGTAGTCCTTTGCCAGTGTCTCTAATGTCTCACAATTGATACCAAAGTTCTTCAGAGCTACCTTGAGAATATCCTTGCATTTCTTCTAATGACCTCTATGTGAATTCTTGGTAAAATTATCTTTTAGGCAAACATATGTTTGGCATTTGAACAACGTGGCCAGCCCATCGGAGTTGTGCTCTCTGCAGGAGAGTTTGATTGCTTGGCAGTTCAGCTTGAGAAAGCACCTCAGTGTCCAATACCTTATCTTACCAGATGATCTTCAGAATCTTCCTAAGACGGTTCAAATGGGGTGGAGTGATTTAGTTTCCTGGCATGGTGCTGGTATACTGTCCAGGTTTCACAGGCATACAGCAATGAGGTCAGCACAATGGTTCTGTAGACTTTCAGCTTGGTGGATTCTCAAGCTTTCCCAGTCACCAAATGTAGTGAAACAGGGATTTTTGTTCCCATGCTTTTTAGCATGATATTTTCAGCAGTGTTGTCAGAAGACTTCACTGAGGATAAAAATGGTATCAAGGTCAACTGACACACTGATGGTAAACTATTTAACTTGAAAAGGCTACAAGCCAGGACTAAAGTGAGTTGTGCATGACTTTTTTGTTTGCCCTGTGGATAAGTTTGCAGATGATTGTGCACTCAATGCAGCCTTTGAAGGTGAGATGCAGCAAGGTATAGATTGAGTCTCTGCTGCTTGTGCTAATTTTGGCATAACAGTTAACACCAAGAAAACATATGTTCTCCACCATCCACCTCCATACCATCCACATGTGGAATCATCAGTTACAACAAATGGAGAAATTTTGAATACTATAGATAAGTTCACTTACTTTGGCGGTATACTTTCCAGGGTGATGATGAAGTTGATGCATGCCTTTCCAGAGCTCCCTCAGTGTTTGGGAGGCTCTGAAGGAAAGTATAGGAAAGAAGAGGTATTAGGCTGTTGCTTACTTAACTTAGAAGTAGAAGGATGATTCTTTATCTATTTTTCAAACAATTTATGTAACACTGGAATTAATTGTTCTTTAAATATTTGATACAATTCATGGGTAAATCCATCTGGTCCTACGGTTTTTTTCCTTAGGGAGCTCATTCATGGCTTTCTTAAGCCATGAATTTTTCTTAAAGTGTATTTTGTGGAATTTTAAAAAATTTTATTGAAGTCTATTTCCTGTTCTGTTAATCTGGGCTATTTACATTTTTGTTAATATTTATCCATTTCATTTAGAATGTCAGTTTTATTGGCATATGACTGGAATTGCTTTTTTCTCTCTTCATTGGTTGTGAATCAGTTAACTTAATTTCTAAATGAATGGTATTTGACAACATTTATGCTATTTACCGGAGGATTAGAAAGGTGTCATCACTGAAGGCTTTTCGTTATTATCTCACATTTATACAGTATTATAAAACATTTTCCTTGCAGCAATCCTAGGAAATAGGTAGTACAAGTATTATTATCTGTCTCATAGATGAGGCAACTGAGGCTCAAAGATTTGAAGTTACTTGCCTGAGGTCACATAACCAGTTAAGTGTTGAAACTGGGACTTGAGGCCAACCAGGACTTTTGCCTCCAGTCCCAGTACTCTTTTCACTAAACTAAACTGATTGTACTCAGTGAAGTTTCTAAATTCTTCCCCACAGGTGAGTGTTGCCTCTGATCCTGGTCGCCGAGTTCAGCACCATATGTTAAGCCCATTTCCTAGCCCTTTCCAGAGCCCTCTTCGTAGTCCCATGCGCAGTCCATTTCGGAGCCCTTTCAAGAACTTTGGACACCCAGGAGGAAGGACTATTGATTTTGATTGTGAAGATGATGAAATGAATCTGAATTGTTTCATTCTCATGTTTGATCTCCTCCTGAAGCAGGTACTTGAAGCGAAAGCTTTCCTTCAGTTTACTTCATTTTCATTCATTTTATCATCATAAAATTATAGACTTGTAGAGTTTGAAGAGACATTAGAGGTTATATAGACTAACCTTTAATTCCTGAATTCTTTCTATACCATCCCTGAGAACTAGTTCTTATCTTCCTTGAATTATATGAATCCTATGCCTATTTAAACACTTTGTGTGGCCAGGAACTCACTACTTCACAAATCAGTTCATTTGATTATAATTGTTAGGAAAGTCTTCCATTATTGAGCTGAAATTTGCCACACTGCTCCTCATTGCTTGTCTCTGAGGCCAAGCAAAACAATTCAAATCCCTCTTCTGTATGGCAGTCACAAAGGACTGATCTTAGACTCTGAATTGTTTTCAAAAGGGAACTTGCAAAAGTATTTAGAACAATAGCAGCTTCACTGAAGTAAAATCTGAGTTTCTCTGGACCTCTCTTTCCACTTCCTTAAAGGGAGGGGGTTGTAAAATGAGCCTCCCAAACTGACTACTTATAAGAACAATGCTCAGTTAAATGCTCGTGCTCTGCTCCTTTAATACTTGTGAACTTCGAGGATTAGGGATTTCTTCATTAGTGTGGACAGACTCTCTTCCCTCAACCCTCTAAATGCCCTGTATTAGTATTAGATATTCATGAGTTTCTATGAACAAAGATAATTCTCACTGTCAGCTAACCTTCTAGTGAAAAGCCTCTCTGCATTGGGCTAGTCTGGTTTTGGGATGACACACAGTTTGTCACTGTTTCCACTCTCAAATCTTTCTAGCTGGGTAGGACCCATTAGTGCTTATTCTCTAGTAGAATAGTTTCCAAGAGCCCAGGGTCATATCAATGTCACAGTGAGTCTGTTTGTTTAAAAAAAATCTTTGCCATTACTCTTAGTCACACATTGCTTTGGTATTATATTACCATAAATCCCCAAATCAGAAGTCATAGAAAAGAACATATATTAATCTGCTGTAGATAGCTATATGTTCGATCTTTGAATAAGGATTATACAGGGTACCAGAGGGTGAAGGCTACTCCTGGGGGGAGTGTGCAGAAATCATTAGACAAAAATCACAAAATTCTCTCCTTTCTTCTTGTGTCCTGCAGATGGAGTTACAAGATGATGGAATCACCATGGGTTTAGAAAACAGTCTGTCTAAGGACATCATTTCTATTATAAATAATGTCTTCCAAGCCCCCTGGGGGGGTTCTCATACTTGCCAGAAGGATGAAAGAGCTATTGAGTGCCACTTGTGCCAGTCAAGCATCCTTTGCTATCAGCTGGGGTGTGACCTCCTAGAACGACTGGCTCCCAAAGAAGAAAGCCGACTAGTGGTAAGCAGCTGAGGAAAGGCAATGGCTCTAAAGGTCTGTCTCATGACAGTAAGCACCCTGAACACTTGTTTAGTTCCTTATAGCTTACAAAACACTATTACATTTAATATGTCACTTGATCTTCAATTAAAATTTATTTCAATACAATAAATATTCAAGAAATTATTATATTGCATAGCAGTTCAGAAAAAAGTATACTTTTCAACTCAGTAATGAAAAATGGTCACAGAAATGTATGCAGAGGAGATTTAGGTAAGACATGGTCCCTGCTCACATGGAGCTAATTGAGAGGCAACTTTGGTATTCAGAGCCCTCCCCCTTTCCTCCCCTACTACGTTTCCAGTCTTTTTACATCTCATACCACCTCTTATCTACCATGAACTCTGCAATCCTATGACATTGGCACCCTTGCTGTTCCTTTTTTTTGTTTTTGTTTTTTAGGCAATTGGGGTTAAATGACTTGCCCAGGGTCACACAGTTAATGTCAAGTGTTTGGTCTGAGTCTGGATTTGAACTCAGATCCTCCTGACTTCAAAGCCAGTGCTCTTTCCATTGTGCCACCTAGCTGTCCCACCCTTGCTGTTTCTTGAACAAGACAATCTGTCTCCCAAACCTGGACATTTTCGTTGGCTGTCCCTTGTGCCTGGAATGCTCTCCTTGGTCATTTCTGCCTCCTGCCTTCTCTGCCTTCCTTCAAGTTCCAGCTAAAATCCCACTTTCTATGGGAAACCTTTCCCTATCCCTTTTAATTTTAATTTTAGTGCTTTCCATCTGTTGATTATTTCAATTTGTCCTGCATATAGTTTGTGTGTATTTGTATGTTGTTTCCCCTTTTAGACTGTGAGCTTCTTGAGAACAGGTACTATTTTTAACCTTTCTTTGTATCCTTAGTGCATGGCATAGTGTTTGGCATAGTGTTTGGCACATAGTAGGCACTTGATAAATCCTCAGTTTCTTCTTCTGGAAAATGGAGATTACAGTAGCACCTATCCCATAGAATTGTTGTGAAGATTAAATGTTGATAACATATATGTGTGTGTATATACATACATATATATTATATATATATAAAACATATAATGATGTTCTATAAATACTTGCTATCAATAAGGTAACAAGAGACATGTAACTAATATGCAATAATACATGACAAGGTACAAATGAAATGTTGTGTGAGATGTTCACAACTATTTTATGAAGTCAGCTTTTCATAGTGATAGAGTATTAGTCTGGGAGCAAGGTTCAAGTCCCACCTCTGATAGAAGAGTGCTGAGTTTGGAGTCAGAGAGTCTGGGTTTAAATTTAGGGTTTACATCTCATGTTTGTGATTTTAGGGAAGTCCTTTAATCTCTTTGGTCTCACTTTTCTCATCTGTAAAATGAGATTAGATGGCCTCTGAGGCTTCTCCTCGCTTTAAATCTGAAAATATGAAATCTACTGTGTGACCATGTGAAAGGTCATTTATCCTGTCAGTGTCTCAAATAAGGTTTTTTTTTTATCAGTACTATCTTTTACTTTAAACACTTTCCTTTTTATTATGAACTTCACAAACAACAACAAACATAAATATTTTCCCTTACAGAAAACAGAAAAAGAGGACAGAATATTAAATCATGAATCTCTACTTTGAGTAGCTTGGTTTTTTTTTTTATATTTTAAATTTAACATAGGAGTTCCAAACCTGCTTCTTTGTGTCCCCTTCTGAACTTCTTTTTGTTCTCTTCTGCTTATTTTTATTTTATTTTATTTTTTGGTGAGGCAATTGGGGTTAAGTGACTTGCCCAGAGTCACACAGCTAGTGGGTGTTATGTGTCTGAGGCAGAATTTGAACTCAGGTCCTCCTGACTTCAGGTCTGGTGCTCTATCCACTGTGCCACCTAGCTGCCCCTCTTCTGTTTATTAAATACATACATATATATGATAATACACTTTTCTTTTCTGCCCTTTTAGAGTATCACTATCAGTAAGCTACCTACTTTTTACCTAACTCTAACCGGTCTTCTTGAAATGAAAGTTGTTTTTGAAAAATAAGTATGCTCATTCAGTAGAAATTCAAACATTGGCTATGCCTGAAAATATCTCACTCAGAGCCTCTAGTCCATCACCCTCTCTACTAAGAGTTGGAGACATAATTTATCATTATCTTTTGGAGTCATGATTAGCAATTGCTTTCATCATAGTCATTAAGTCTTTCAGTACTAATTTTACTTATAATATTGTCATCATATAAATTGTTCTCTTGGTTCTCATGAGGTTTCTCTCAATCCATCCCTTTTGTCACTGCAATAATATTTCATCACATTCAGAAACATGATTTGTTCAGTCATTCCCCAATTGATAAATACCGGTTTGTTTGTAGTTTTTTTCTTACAAAAACTGTTGCTATAAATATTTTGCACAAATTAGTCCTTTATGACTAGGATCACTAGGTCAAAAGGTATACTTAATTTAGTGAATTTCTGGTTTTAATTCCAAACTGTTTTGTAGAATGGTTATGCTTTAGAGATCTACCAATAGTCCATTAGTGTGCCTATCTTCTTATAGCCTCTCCAACTACCATAATTTTCCTTTTCTGTCATCTGATGGATGTAAAGTAGAATCACAAAGTTGTTTCAGTTTTCATTTCTTTTGTAATTGGCAGTTTGGTACTTTTTTTCATATGATTCATGATAACTTGCCTTTCTTCTTTTGAGAACTGCATGTTCATATTCTTTGCCCATTTATGTATTAGGGAATGGCTCTTATTCTTATATATTATATCAATTCCCTATTCATCTTGGATATAGGACCTTTATCAAAGAATTTTGCTGTAAAGATTTTTTCCCTTCAGTTAACTGTTTCCTTTCTAGTTTAATTATTACTGTTTATGCAAAACCTTTTTGATGTTATATAATCACATTGTCTATTTTATTGTCTGTGAGCCCCTCTATTCCTTTTTTGCTCAATAACTCTCCCTGTACATGGTTGTGAAGGATATCTCTTTCCAAAACCCTTTAATTTATTTATAATATGTTCATTTATAACTAGGTCATATATCTATTTACATCATGTTGTATATATATATATGTGTATATATATATATATATATATAAAATATGAAATGTTGGTCTAAACCTGTCATACTACTTTCTAATTTTCCCAGTGGTATTTTTCAGATAGTGAATCCTTACTCCAGTAGCTGGAATCCTTGGGTTCATCAACTACTATATTGCTATATTTGCCTGCTTTCTGATTATTTTTAATTTTGTAAAGTTTATCTATTCCATTGATCAAAGTTTTGATTTTTAAATGAATACCAAACAGTTTTGATGATTACTGCCTTGTAGTACAGTTTGAGATCTGGAATTGCTAGGATATCATCTTTCCCACTTTTTTTCATTAATTTTATTTTTAAAAACCAAAAAGAATTATATTTGTATTTTTATTTTTAACATCACTTATATTCTCTACTTTGTTCCTTCCTTTCTCCTGGAGAACCATTCTTTATAATAATGAACAAAAAAAGAGGAAGAAAAAAGTTCCATAAAACTAATCAACATATCAAAAAGTTTGATGTTATATTTATATATGTTATATATCACATATATTATGTGTAATATTTCACATCAGTGGTCCCTCCCTTATGCAGAGGAAGAAGGGGAGGTATCTTCTCTTTGGGGCCAAACTGGCTTATTATAATTTCATAGCATTCACCTACGATTATTTTGTTATTATTGTTCTTTCTACTTACATTATTATAGTTATCTTGTATATTTTTTTTGGTTCTGCTTACTTTACTTTGCATCAGTTCATATGTCTTCCCATACTTCTTTCTATTCACCATGTTCATAATTTTTATAGTACAGTAATATTCCATTATATTCATGTACCATAATTAAAAAAATTTTTTTCTCTAGTTACATGTAAAAATAATTATTAATATTAGTTTTTTTTAAATTTTGGATTCTCAATTCCTTCCCTCTCTCCCTTCCCCTCTCATTGAGAAGGCAAGCAATTTGATATAGATTATACATATTAAGTCATACAAAACATATTTCCATATTAGTCAAGTTGGAAAAGAACACAGAAGAAAATTTAAAAAAAAGAAAAAGAAAAACCTAAGAAAAATAAAGAAAGTAAAAAAGTATGTTTCAATCTGCATTCATATTTCATCTTTTTTTTTTGTGGAAGCAGATAGCATTTTTCATTATAAGTCCTTTGGAATTGGCTTGGATCTTTGTATTGTTGATAATAGCTAAGTCATTCACGGTTGATCATTCTACAATATTGCTGTTACTGTGTATACTGTTCTCCTGGTTCTGTTCACTTCACATCAGTTTATGTAAGTCCAGGTTTTTCTGATATCAACTTGCTTGTCATTTCTTATAGCACAATATTATTCCATCACAGTCATATATGACAACTTATTCAGTCATTCCCTAATTGATGGGATCCCCTCAATTTCCAATTCTTTGCCACCACAAAAAGAGCTGCTATAAATATTTGTACATATAGATCCTTTTTCTTTTTTTTTTTTAAATCTCTTTGGGATATAGACCTAGTAGGGGTATTGCTGGGTCGAAGGGTATGCTTGGTTTTATAGCCCTTTAAGAATAGTTCCAAATTACTCTCCAGAATAATTGAATCAGTTCACAACTGCACCAACAGTGCTTTAGTGTCCCAATTTTCCCACATCCCCTTCAACATTTGTCATTTTCCTTTTCTGTCATATTAGCCCATCTAGTAGGGGTGAGGTGGCACCTTAGAGTTATTTTAAAATTTGCATTTCTCTAATCAATAGTGATTTAGAGCATTTTTTTCATATGGCTATAGGTAGCTTTGATTTCTTCATCTGAAAACTGCCTGTTCATATCCTTTGACCATTTATCAATTGGAGAATGACTTGTATTCTTATAAATTTGACTCAATTCTCTATATATTTGAGAAATGAGGCCTTTATCAGAGAAACTTGATCTAAGATTTTTCACTTATGATTATTGTATATTTCCCTTCATGCTGAT